TGTCACGAGGTTGTTACACTGTTGACCCTTGGTATTACAGTAGCTATAGGTACATTAATCATAAAAAATTTACTTTATTATCCTGCATTTTTCATTTTTAGGTTTAAAATTGTCTTGCTTATGATTACGGGAGTTTTTACACGACTCCAACTAGCTTTTGATTGTAGTTTGCGACGACTTAATTTTAGTGTTACCTAACGTAACAATATCAGCCCCATAGAATCTTGCCAACTCTCTCATTAAGTTAGTAACAAGAACTGTGCCATAACGGGTAGTTGAAGCGCTATAGATTTTCCATAATAACGCTAACTGATTTGAATAAAACGTAACTTAACAATACTTATTTTAGATTTTTGGATAATTGATAATGCCAATGTTATAAAATCTGATAATAAAATATGTCGTGGATCAATCGTTGAATTGGGCTGATCGAGATCTGCCCGGACATATCAGGATATGCCACCATTTTTTGATTTGACCATTTGACACCAGTATGGACGTTAGGTGGACACGTATTGGTTTAGTTCAATAAGAATAACTTTACTTTAGCCCCACTAATCTGCATTCGGGATCTACACGTGAGCCTAGTACAGAATATATTGGGAGAATTGGTTCCATTAACATGATATTTAATTTAGCATCACAAATTCGCATTGGGCACACAGCCCTGTACTGATTACTGTTTATATTACATATACCATCTATTAGACAGACCTGTATCCTAGCACACATCCTACCAATCCGTAAGGCGCCCAGCACGCGGGCTCAGTGCGGGTTCCTAGGTGGATTGGTGTTATCCTTTCTTAGCACTACCTTATGGACAGCACACGACTTAAGATATTGTTACTGTCCTTAAGAAGTCGGTACAATGTATGAGTGACTCCGTACTGCGATTGCGGCGCGTTGTAAACGTGACGTCACACGTCCATAGCGCACCACAGCAATTTTTTGAAAACGGCAGTATTTAAAACAATCATTAAATGAAAAAAAACTTTGTGTCCATGTATTTACATGGACACGAAGTTTCAAAAGATTTGACGGATCAATTGATATTTCTCATAGAAAATTATTATTACTGCTGAGCGCACCATTACAATTCGTCGTAATCATTCATTTCACAGAAAGAGAGAGAATTTTGAGGTTAATGAATTTGTTAAAATATTTACATACTAGCTGTTTTGCCGCGGCTTCACACTCGTAAATTAAAGCCAGTGTCACTCGCGTATAATGTGTAAAGTATCCCGTAGGTGACAAAATTTTTCAAATCCGTTGCCGATCGTTAGTCTAGCTAGGCTATTAACTCGATAATTAGTGATCTCTCAATAATACAATCTAGAAACAAAAAAGTTAATTGATTTGATGATGAGACAGTAAAAAAGAAATCGATTCAATACCAACAAGGAAGTGACAAATGCCTGCTATCGGAAATGTGAAGACGCTCTGAAGTACAATTTTTGATAGATCTTTGCCCTCGTAAAGCCTACGATATAAATGGTTTATAAGAAGTTGTCGCCCAGTGTGGTTATATAACAACAATGGTATTATATAGTAGTTACTAGAGATGCAACGGATATCCGGTAACTATCCGGTATCAGGCTTAACTGACCCGCTAACCTACCGGATACCGGATAGTAGGTAATTCAATATCCGACCGATACCGGATAGTAATTCAATATCCGAACGGATACCGGATAGTAATTCAATATCCGACCGATACCGGATAGTAATTAAATATCCGACCGGATACCGGATAGTAATTCAATATCCGACCGGATACCGGATAGTAATTCAATATCCGATCGGATACCGGATTGTAAAATTCAAAACATTCTCATTATTTTACACAAGGCAAATCATACCAACCTATTTATGGGAACTGTTTACTTATATAAGCGCACATCAAAGTGTTTGTTTTATCAATTATTTGAGTAATCAAAATTAAAAAATTCACAATATTCATAATTGGAAAGAAGCTGGAGTCACAAACTTGCACTCATAAAATTGTCGTTTTACCTTGTAGTAATGAAAATAAAAACGAAATGACATATCGACCAAAATTTATTTATATGAGCAGGTGTCTATTATCAAAATCAGTTTAAAAATATTCATAAATTTTAAGTCCAATATTGTGAAATCACCGATCGTTTTTTAAAGATGACAACGTTCTTTGTTAATCAATCAAACATCAAACCTCGACGAAATATGAAAAAAAAAAGGAATAAACAAACGAAACTGACACGCGCGATAACACTCGATCGCCACCGAATCAACCCGCTTTCCGCTCACATGCAATATCACCCTATATTCAAATCAAACCGATCACGTCATGTAATGTAAAAGAGGGACGAATATTCACCCACGGCGATATAATTGTTAAGAAAAGGGGATACCCGTTTTCATTAAACTTAGGAATGGCCAAAGATGAAAATGCATTACATTAAGTAATGTCTAAAGTTATGATGATAAGGGAATGTAATTTCGTTTTCGCGAGATCTCGGCCTTATTTAACGAGATTGATCTCGATCGAAAAAGGGCGAGATCACACGAGTTTAACGAGATTGCACTCGAGGGTAAAAACGATTTATTCTTAGTGCAGCAGCGCGAATTTATTCCGGGGGGATTCAAAGGCGAAGTTTTACACTTTTACAGTACTTATGTTTTCTATTTTTCTGGCCAGGACGATAATAAGACGAATAGCCAAAATTCTTTGGACATTTTGTGCACTTTAACAAGCTACTTTCAAAATAATGACGTGTGAAGTTAACTGAATAAACCTTTAAATTGATTGCTGTATATTGTTAATTTATGTGTTAATTTCTAATAGATCTCTGGGTAAACATATTATTATTTCATTGATAATAATCTAAGTTTAATAGTCAATTCGACCTAGTTAGGGAGTTTTATTTGAGTTTTTATATTCTTGTTACTTTTGTTATAAAAAACTGTGTATTATAATTAAACTTTTGTTTGATATTAGCAGAGATACGTCAAAGTTTAGTTTCTTTAAGGATTAGTACCTAGATGACTAAGCTTAACTCGGCATTATTATAAAATAAAACAAATTAAACCTGACTAAATCGATTTATCGCCTCTGAAAGCCCCTACATACTTAATGTCATGAAAATTAGCCATTTCCGAGATTATAATACAGGAATTACTTTAAAAGTTTTAGATAAGAAAATATAATAACGTCAAAAAATTTTAAATACATAAAACTTTATTGAAAATACATGTAAAAATAATACCTATTATTTTTTTCTAATTTATACAAATATTGTGGTTTGAATAAATTACAATAAAATAGTAAACATACAAAAGTGGCAATCTCTCGAGATCTCGTAATTGGCGAGATCTCGCCCGAGTCCCAATCTCGCGAGATTGCATATGCGTTATGCGGTACCTTGCTCACAGATGTGTCAAGGGATAATAAAAAAGGTAAACTAGTAATTTAACTAAACTACTTAGGCGATTCGTAAGATTAGGTGTTTCCTTGTTAAGCTTGACACCTTCTTCTAGGTTAATGAAAACGGGGGGTAGGTCTACTATAAAGTATTGACTGTGGAACATAGGTTAAACAGATTGCCTTAACAACTCACTTGAGCACTTTTTGAGTAATAGATTTGTCATTGCTTAGAATAAATTGTCATAGAATGTAATTGCATTTGATAATGTCAGCAAATTTAAAAACAAACTAGACCTATTCCTAAAATATAAGCAGAACAGCTAATATATGATACAGACATATCAGTTCAGTTGTCTCAACTGCTTAGGATATTAAGTTAAGTAATGATAATGATAAGAGTAATATTAATATCTAACTAATCTTCACACCAAATACCTTAATTTCTTAAAATATCCTTTTAAAAATTGACAGCAGTTCTTTGTTATAAAAGTAGTCAAAAATTATACTAGTAATCAAAAAAACATATACAAAATATCAATGACACAACAGAGATTCAATTATATCGCAGAACATGTTAAAATAACAAATCAATTTCATTTCATTTGTTTCTTCCACAAATACACAAAGAAGTTTAAAATTCAAACACCTAGGTAATCTTACAAAAAATCATAATTTTTAATATTGATAATTGAGTAAGGCTGAGCATGTACTGAAAGCCTAGATTGAAAGGGTTCTTTTACCGCTAGCATTTTATTAGCAGTAGTTTTTTACAGTTTATATCACTAAATGTCATCAAATTAGCCAGCAGGACAGCTAGCAACAAAATGACACCAAGTGGCTTAAGTGGTAGGGTCAGGTTACTGTTGAAGGTAGACACTCTGCAGTCATTATTACCATGGTAAACAAAGAAATTAAATACAGTTAATGCAAAACCGCATACATTGCAGTTTACATTTCCAGTTAGCTAATGTGTGCACTTGTATAGATAACTATGTGCTACAGGCCAGAAAGATTTCAGACTTATGTTTCATCAGTCTACATATAGTTTAGTCTTATTATTTCTTATAATATATTAAGACGTTGTATGAAAAAAAAATAGGAAACAGGTATAACAATTTTGAATATTAGAACAGATTAAAACAGTCATTTCTCAGATATTTTCAAAGATTTAAATTAAACATAAGTAGGTGGGTAGGCACAGATTCAAGTTGAGAAATATACTTTGTCATTTCAAGGCATTATATTTGAGATTTTATCAAATCACCGGATGTGTTTCAGGAAATGCTATAAATCAAATTGTTATTATAATATTTTCCGTGATTTAACGAAATAACACAGAGAAGTGATCAAATACTTCCCTGTTTTTATCATAACCATGCGACATACACACCTCAAAGAAGTATTTGACACACCTATTTGAAAATTTGTGAAAGGTTAATATCATTGTGAAAGGTTCTTGAAAGGTCACATATAAAACGGAGAAATGACAAAATGCTTGTAGGGATGATAATTTCAATGTCAGGCACATTAACATTATATTAATTGAAGATATAAAATAGAACTATGATTATTTATGTAAACAAAATAACGTACTTACACTATGAAGCATACTATGCCCAGCCAATTGAAGATTTTTTTTACCGAAACTATAATGCCAATACTTTTGCCTCAACACCAAATAAATACACAAACAATATTTGTGAAAATACTCAATTGATCACGTTTATTTCTCTATTATTTAATTGTCAATTAAGTGCACTTGAATAAAGCAAAAACGCGAGAAATAATTTATACAAAACGTTGATTGCAATACTGCGAACGCACAGTAGTCACGAAAAATACGCGACGAACGTCTCGTTCGCGGTCACTCTCAAATCTGTTTCGTCAAACAAAGCAAAGAAATTCTTTCTTCACCCATTTGTTGACTGTTGTCAATGTCAAGCTATTGTCAGTGCCTGACAGTGACAGCTATATCATCAGTGTTACCATTACCTACAAAGTTTACTCTTAACAGTTTTGAAAGAAACATTTTACCAAAGAGGGAGTATTTAAAAAAAAACATTAGATCCCGAAATCAAACTAGATGTCGCTACGGTACGTTCTTGATTTCTCCATGACAACCCTTCCGATTTTCTTTCATGTTTAAAAGTAAATTAATTATCAACTAACTCATAATAATAGTAAATTAATTAACAACTACTCGTAAGTTTAAGACTATTCAAACTTCAGTTTTTTAATATGTTAGTTAAAGGGAATGGAAATTACTGTCTTAGGTCCATTCGTTTCCTCCAAAAATCAACTTTTGCTAGAGTTGATATCTAGTGGAGGTGCTTTTTTAGTGCTTTCGTTTGTATATATACGCTCAAGGTGTATTTTACAGCGTGAGGCTTTTGGATATATTGCAATGATTAACATTTGGTTATTGTCATCAATCTCTTTGTCATGTATCTATCTATCTATCATCACATGTCTGTACCATAGAAATCGGTTTTCTCTCATCTTGTCGTTAAAAAATCCCTATGATGTAATCAATTCTAATTTTTGTCTATTCTTGTTACTCCTCTCGACCAGCGCAGCATCTTCACCTTAGTGATATGGAATCTGTAATTTTTCTGTTTTTCTTATAATCCAACATTCAGATCCGAATAAAAGTGTGGGTCTATTGCTCATTTTAAAAGTTTCCCTTAGTTTTGACAGGCATACATCCTTTTATACGTACATATGTTTTAGCTGGGCATTTTTTATTCATTTGTATGTCCCTCTCTACAGATGCTTTCGGTATATCAATGGATCCGAGATATTAAAACTCTTCAACTCCGTTTGTTCCTGGAAAACACAGAAGGTAATCAAATGTATGTATTTCATTTTTTGTACCGACGCTCGGCGGTCGGGCTAGGGTTGTCAACTTTGGCTTATGCACAAAAAACTATCATAGTTATTGAAATTCGTATCTATTTCGACATTGACTAAATTCAGGATATTATATTTTATAGTATAATAAAACCGATTTAGACCTATGAAATACTATATAAGACGCATTTCTGAAAATTATTTTAAGTGATTGTTTGATACATTGTAAGCATACTGTCAAAATATTTCAAGAAAAGCTGTTCTATTTACGATTTAAATAATGAGGAAGTATTAAAAAACAACAAAGCACTAAAAAAGCACCTCACTAGATGGCGATTGTAGCAAAAGTTGAGTTTTGCAGGAAATGAATGGACCAAAAATAATTATTTCCATTCCTTTTGTTCGAAACTTAAATATCAATACAATTACAAAAAGAAAAAATAGAATATGAACTGTTTATTGAGTTTTGAAAATTAATTTACTTTTATATATGAAACAAAACCGGAAGGGTTATCATGGAGAAATCAAGAACGTACCGTGGAGACATCTAGTTTGATTTCGGGAACATTTTTTTTATGTATGTAGAAATACAAATTCTCAAGAGAACAGATTCGGATATGGGTTGCGTCAACTACGGTCGTTTCCATCGATTATTGAAATTGTTAAATATGTTGCATTTTTATGTTATTTAACTAAAGCTTAACATCTTAAGATTCTAAGAAATATACTTTGTTAGATTATTGTCTTACAGGATGAAACTTATTTTTGATTGTGTCAAATGCCCTATTACAGAAAACCAACATATTTACACAATTAAAAAAAAATACGTTTTCAACTTACGTACGTAATTTGGTGACGTGAAAAAATTAGGTATTGCACTAATAAACGTACGACGCGAGTTTCATCTAATGAGGAAGTATTTAAAAAAAAATCTTTAGTTCCCAAAATCAAATTAGATGTCGGTACAGTATGTTGATTGATTGATTGATTGATTAACACTTTATTGCACTAAAAACAAACACATAAAACAGAAAGAAATAAACATATATGCAAAAGGCATATATGTTTATTTCTTTCTGTTTTAAATGTTCTTGATTTATCCATGACAACCTTTCCGGTTTTCTTTTAAGTTAAAAAGTAAATTAGTTTTCAAAACTTAATAAACAACTCATATTCTATATGTACTTTTTCGTATTTGTATTGATATCTAAATTTCAACTTTTCAACTTTCAGTTTTTTAATATGTTAGTTAAAATGAACGGAAATGATAGTCTTTGGTCCATTCGTTTCCTGCAAAAATCAACTATTGCTAGAGTCGCCATCTAGTGTTAGTGCTATTTTAGTGCATTCTTTTTTTTTTAAATACTTCCTCATTATAAATGACTATAGGTCATCAACGCTGACAAATATATGACTAAATATAATATTTGATCAACTTTGCATTAAAAATGCTATACTGATAAATATTTTTAAAGACAAAATGCTTAAAAACATCGACCAGCCCCCGGTTCCTCGAGGTGAGAGCAGTCGCTTCGATTGGGAAAGTTATAGCTCGGGGTACCTGGGGCTTGTGGATTTTTTAAGCATTTTTCATAAAAATTGACTATATCTCTATCCATATAATTTCCTTAAAACTGCTCATAGGGACATAAAAGTAATCACCTACTTATCTCTCTGAAACATCTAGTAGCTAAAAAAAGATATTTTGTCATTTGTTATTGAATTTAAATAACCGTTCACTAACACTTTTTTAAAAGTTCACAGACGCATGTCTAGCTGACAGCACTCGCGCTCGCACTCGTTTGAAACGATCCAAGACATCGTGTCTGTGAGCGTTATTTGTGTGTGCGTTGCTCGAACGCACTTTATATGTAGATTTTTTTCTGTAAAATATATTCTGTTCTGGAAACTGTTAATTGAATAAAATGTTCATTTTACCATGTTTATGTTATCTAATTCGAAAGCGTTTCATGAACATCATTAGTATTAAACACCATAATATAATTGAAACGAATATAATATAAGTGGTCGCAAAAAATTAAAAAGCAGAAAATAAATTCAAGCGCGTCTTCATGATTCGCTTAATGTCGCATGATCACCCCCATGCCACAACTCCTTCCACAACATACATGAACGCATGTGGGTGATCGGCGTTACATCCTAATACTGATGATATACCTAGATAATATTGGATAAAAATACACTATTTTCAATTATAGTTTTTTTTTTTAATAATGTTTCTATAGAAAGATGCAATTAGGTATTTATATCCTCTTAATATATAATAATGGGATGAATTGGCTTTGATTATTGGAAATTGTATTGTTCATCGAAGGAATTTTGTGATTAAGTTATGGCAATACTGTTTCGTCCATTTTCATTCTGCAAACTCAAAAAAAAAACGACGAAGGAAGAGAAAAAGAAGATAAATGTTGCACATAATATAATTTTTTGTTTGGTAATGAGTTAACTAGATGTTAATATTGTCGGTGTTTATTTTTCATTGCTACTATACAAGATATATAAGAACGACGACACAGTAACGGTAAGTTTTGCGACGTTTGATTGAATTTGTTGTTTGTATAGCAAGAAAGTGACGGTTGCTAGCTCTCGTAGCCGCTGCAGATGTGATCTAGTTTCACGTTTTACCTTTTCGAAATGGATACGACTATAAATGTACCGGCTGGCAATTAACTATTTGTTCCGCGACATTTGATGAGTGGCCATTACTTGATTTGAAAGGTAGTCGTTGAATCATCGTTTCACAAGTTACCTTCTTACACTTTAATATTCCATGTTTTATCATTTGATATTTTACACCTACGCGAAAAAGAAAGTCGGTTTGTACAACAGCTATCTTATTTACATGTGAGAAACTATTAATTTACATGTCATATAAGTAGTGCTTCTTTGTTACTGGATAAATAGGATTAGATTATTTTCAGCACATTTTGTTATGTAGCTAAAAATATTTATATTTGTTCTACTCTAAACATACCTGCATTACTTGTGTAAAAAAACTGTAATCTATTTGTAAATAAATTGTAAAGGACATTATATTGGTATGTTACCTTGACCCTGCAAAGGAAACTATAAGGTATTTAACTGACATTAAGTAATGAGTTTAATTTAACTCAGGGTAAACAGCATCTACCTTAAGAAAACAAAACCATATGCTGAAAAATCTTTTGTAGAGTCTTGATCTTTACCTTTAATTAAGTAACTTGTCATTGGTTTATTTCATACCTTTATTAGCCCATTTATGCCTACAACTACTTCATTATTTTGTTCCTTACATTACATCTTGATTCATAAATGAAAAAAATTAAATGTGTTTTCAAAATCAATAACATTACATTTAAATGGGTAAATAAATCCTACCCTCATCTTATATAATAATATATGTTAAATTTAGTAATTAATAATTACAAGTTATGACTTAGTTTCGTCATGTACTAACCTATAAGTACAGAATACATGTTAGGGATCTTTTTCCTAAAGCAAAACAATTGTCAATCAATACACTATATTAAAATAAACTACCAAATTTATTACTGACATTAGCTTTTGTGACGCTATCTTATTAAAATAAATATCAAATTATTTTTCTTTTACTTTATGTGTAAAAGGGTTCTAAACAGGCATAATTATTCTGCAATTATCGCTGCTGTAAGTAGTGCCAGCCTAACCTTTTTGGTATGGTTGATATTTTTTTAAACATTTCTGGGATGACCAAGCAATAATTTGCCCAAAGTGCAGTTACTAATTGCCAAAAATATTTCCCATTTAGAAGCTCCTTTAGTTAAATGTAATCAAGAAAACATAATCATATATAGTAAAATATAATAATTAAGCTTCCGTTACCAAATCTTAGCTTTTTTAAAATTGAGATGGTCTTGTGAGTGAACACATTTGAAGGCACCCCTACTGTTTGGTATTGGCATAATGATATTTCATTCTAGACAGTTTCCCCCACAATGTAGAATTTTTTGTTGGATTGAGAACATTTCTTAAATTAATCGAGGCAATTTAATTTCTGG